ATGCTCCAGCTTGTTGGAGATTTGAATCCTCCCACGGCAACTAAGAGTTCCATCCTTCCAAAGTCTGCAGGCTGCACCGAAAGAGGATGGAATAATTAAGGATCAAGAATATTATGTATAGAATCTAATAGTATATATAGAGGATGAAGAATCAAAGGATAAACAATGAACAATTTGGCATCGGTCAGTCCCTTCTCGGGATGCGCCACGCATTCTCCTCCCACTCAAAATCGTGAAAACTTGGATTTCAGGCCGGTATTTGCATTCTTACAACGAATCAGTTAATAGTTAGTCGACTCCAACGCCTGTAAGACTTGGTCTGCCGAAGCGAAATTTCACCTGGATTCTGTCCCTGGACCAAGCGTCTAAGAATCAATGTTGAAAAAAATTCACTAATTGCCCGAGGAAAATAAATTAACATTCACTCTTAGTTTCAGTATACCGGTATAGTTGTACGGCGCCTTTTGAACGTAAAAATAAACACAATGAACAAATAAATAAATAACTATACCAAAATAACGAATGGAAATGGATAGAAGCTTTGAAAATTTTACACCATTCTATGTATGTCATATCTACATCAATCTGTAGCAAGTATGTTTGCATTCGAAGCCTTTAAATTTGCAATTGAAACCCATAAAAAACCCAAGTTCGTGGCGCATTCCGAAAAAAAAACTGGTCAAGACTGACCACGTCATAGTTTGTTCTTCCAGGACATTGGCCTTTACCACCCAATCCACCTTCTCCAGACTATTTTTAAATGCAGTCAACCATGGATCCCGTTTGTGTGCCCCCCTTGCTTCAACTTTGATGGGCAAAGACACCGCTGGTGTCCACTCTCCTTCACGTTAGCTGAACGGAACCCGTTCGTCTGTCAATCACCACTAATTCACTTGCTCATCTCTGCCACTCATCTCGTACATCCCCTCATCAGCAACAATTATCGCTTATGCGGATCTCGTCAACAGCCGGACAAATCTGCAATTGAAAAGCTGACGACATCGTCAACGTATTTCCCACCTACACTATCCATATTTCACGTAGAAAAAAGGGTGCTGTTTCCATTGAAATACGAGGACCGAAAAATTGAACTTCCGGCCCTCATCTATCGTCATATAGATACGCCATGCACTAGATTTCTACTCAGAATCATGGAGAGTTTGAATACGCTTGGACTATTGCGGTGGATTGCGGGACTAGCGATATACGGGACCTTCCACGGCCCCGTACAAGACCAGTATTGTCACTAGAGCAACCCCCCCCTCGGCCAAATTGAAATAATAAGAGGGAATTGTGAGCAAACTACAGCAACCCCCCTCAGCCAAATTGAATAATAAGAGGTGGTTTGTGAGCGTAAGCACAAGCAAGGTGAGCAGACCACTAGTATGATGGCCCTTTTCATGGACACCATGCTTACAAGAGGCTATTTCGTCCCTCTTTGGTTCAGTATAAGTCCTCTTCGGTATCGATAGCATGGTTAAAAAACAAATAACTTGAAGAGATTCGCCCCAAACCAAATGGGCGGGATGGATCTGAATCTGGCCCAGGCCTAAAAGGCACCAACCAAGCCTTCCATCCCTCCGGGGTCGGTTAATTGGTACCAGACTTGTCTGGGAGGATAAAAACACTGACTTGTACATCGGCTGGCCCCTGCAAGTCATTGTATAGGCCACATCGCATTCAAACGCCACTGCGAATTCTGAATGGAACAAGAACGCGTGGCGCATCCCAAACTGACTTATAAATAATCGATACGCCACGCTGAGCAGCTTATCCTTCTCACCTGATAAGATGATAGGATTGAGCCTGATTTCAATATAAGAATAACAATTTCGCTGACAAATGGCCCGATGAAGGTACCGATTTTTGAACATAAAATATAGCTTGGCGCTGAGGTGCTCTAGAATGCGCCATGTGACTTTCGACCTGGCACAAAATCGGAGCAGTACAAATGCACGAGGCGGTGTTGCCCTCCAAGAGGAACCAAAGCCAAAAAGCACAACGTGAGTAGAAGCAAAGCTATTTCAAAGTTATGTGGATATTTAGACTGCCTAACAAAACCGAAAAACGAAAATCGGATCACTGAACATACCGGTAGCCGGCTAACTTCCCATTGTCCAAAAGAAAATTAGAGCAAATCAATCAGCGCTATCCCAGATCTGGACTTATTGCGAGGAATATGACAGTCCAATAGACGGATCGGATACGATAATGAATCTTATTATTGACGTTTTTGTAGGTATCATTAAACGCAAACCCAGAATCGCAGGCATCTCAGCGCTAAGAGAAGGGCTATATAAAGACATTCTTTAGCACATACCCCTACTAGCGTCAATGAATCTGAAGTCGATCGCCATTTTCGGCTGCATCACGTCCATAATTGTGATAGTTGCCTGCACCACCACCGTTTTCTACCTCTACAACAGGCTGAACCTATTCTATTTGAAATCCATGCGCGATATGGACGAGTTTAAGGTACGTCGTGGTTGGGGAATTTTTTTGGGCAGAGCTGGAGTGTGGCAGGTGGCACCGGTATCACGGGGGCCTTATTGACACCATTAGGAAGACCGTATTGATTAACAACTCTGATTATGTAGAGATAGGAGAGGGAATGTGCCGAAACACAGAGACCTCCGTTGAAGGGGAGGGGAAGGGTAGGTAGTTCTACCATGGCCATTTCCCCAAGGGTATGATCACAATTCGAACTCATGCAGCGAGGACTTCTAGGCCAGAAAAGTAGGCAAGGAATTTATCAGATAGCCATTCAGTACCTTGGTAAGATTACCAACCTCCTAAACCCACAGCAATTTCAGGCCTACGCAGATGACGCATGGACGGAGATGATCAGCGCTAAAATTGTGCTCGCCAAGAGGAATTCGCAAGACAATTTGGGCAAAACCAAGCCGACTGGACTAGTACTGCAGGAACCACCGGACCGCGCCGGACAAGCGGGAATTCCCGGCTTGGACGGAGTACCTGGCAACGACGGATCTGCAGGAGTGAAGGGAGTGGCAGTGATGTCAGACAACGCATTTGGATGTGTGCAGTGTTCCGCTGGTCCGCCTGGACCACCTGGTCCCGATGGTGAACCCGGGGAACCAGGAAAAGACGGCGCACCCGGCATTCCAGGTCCAAATGGACGCGACGGTAGTCATGGAGTACCTGGGAATC